ACCCCGTGTAAATTATGTTGTAGAACAGAAAATGGATATTTTGGATCGAGTTGTTGTAAACCATACGGATCCATCATCGACACTTGTCGTACAACTTTGTGAAACGATTGGAGAACAGAATGAGACATATTTTACTATTATAACGAGAGATTCAGAGGGAAGACAAAGTTATAACAAGGATGATCACATTAAGTGTGACATTCGCACTTCAACTGGGGATAGCTTGGAAACAGATCTAGAGATTGAAGACAACGAAGATGGTAGTTACACAGTAAAATATACACCACATCGGGCTGGATTATATGAATTGAAAATTGAAGTTAATGGACAGCCGCTGGATCAAGGTCCATGGACAGTTGAGGTCATCCATCAGTATCAATTTAAGTTTAAGTTTGGTTCAAGTGGCAACGGACCAGGACAATTCAATTATCCTTCTGACATTGCTGTTAGTGAGAAAACAGGAACTATTGTGGTTTCTGACTTTAGAAATAGAAGAATTCAGCTCTTTAACTCCGATGGGAGCTACCTGAGAGAGATAGGATTGGGTACTTCTTGTACAGCATTAAGTTTTACCCAGGTCGGACACATTATTGCCGTTACTCCTGATGATGTTAATAAGGTTCGTTTGTTTGCTGAGAACGGTAGTTTTGTCCAGTACATTAATAGTGCACACTTGGAGTGGCTTTTTCACATATCCACTGGAAAAGATGATTGCATTACTGCTTGTGATGGAAAAAAACATGTCGTTGTTACCTCCCCGGATGGAACAGAATTACTGAAACGTTTCAGTGCCTCTGAACATGAGGAATCAGTATGGTGCGCAATCTATCACGAGGAGAAATTCTTTGTCTCTGATCCTAAAGCTAGCCGTGTTGGTGTTTATGATGAGGACGGAATGTTGCTATACGATATTGGCAACGAGGGGTCTGGTAACGGCGAGCTATGCCATCCCATAGGAGTTGCAATTGACAAATTTAGCAATTTGATCGTCTGTGATACTGGGAACAGTAGAGTTCAAGTATTCTCTTTGGACGGAAAATTTGTCTCGACAATTGGACAGTTTTCATTTCAACCGATTTGTGTTGCGGTGTCTAGTAATGGAGAAATTTTTTTAACTGGTTTTGGGACCAACAGTGTTCATGTCTTTCACTAGAGCTATTTTAATCAGTTTTTCAGCGTTCATTTAGTACACGATTTTTTAAATTTTTTTTATTTAATGATTCACCCGAAGGTGGGTCTAAATACAATAGGACTCTAAGTCCCCTCCAAGATATTTACACCCTTAATCCCAACCCCTAAATTATGCGATGAGAAGCATAAAAACATTCTCTAGTTGAAAGGAATAAAACTGCGAACAATGAAGAGATAATATTGTTTCGGCTGCGGTTCTTACCACATTAATGAAGTTATGTCGAAATCTCAGCCAAGTTTGCGTTTTGAAGCCGTTGCGCCGCAGTCGCTTTCCTAGCTCCGCAGAAATCAAACCTGAATTAATTTTGCGTGAGCCCGAAAAACATATCCCTTTTCTAAATTTTTGTATGTTTATCACGATATAGTGCAGTAGTAATTATGTATAGTTGTTTGTTTCAATATGTAATTTCTTCTGATTTTTATTGATCACAATAATGATGACTTCACGTGACTGACAATTTTATTTTCTTGTCAGCTTCGTTTTTGTTTAACAATACCCATTCATTTTAAATCAGTACTTATGATTAAAAAAACCTCACTGAGAAGAACAATTTACTTCGAAGTCTGCTTTCTTGCCAGTGGCATACAACTATCATTTTTACCTCTACCGGTAGACTATTAGCCTTGCCAGGTTGTAAACAATAAGATTTTAGGCTCAAAATTTCTGTTGCGTGGTAGATGCTGAAGCCAAACTTTTCCTTAACCAAAAAAATTAGCAAAACTTCAAGAATACGACGCTTTAAAAATCAGACTTACATACCGCACAATCCGTGGTTTTTAAGGAACATTTGCCACAAGTTAAATTATTATTATTATTATTATTATTGGACGCTGCGAGAACCTTTGAAAAGTCAAAAAACCTGAGACATACAAACCACCCAGTGTAACTTATGTTGTAGAAGAGGAAGTGGATATTTTGGATCGAGTTGTGGTGAGTCAAACGGATCCCTCTTTGTCAAGCGTCGAACACCTTCTGGGGGTAGGGATAGAACAGAAAGAGACTTATTTTTTTATTGTCACAAGAGATTCAGAGGGAAGACAGTGCTACAACATGGATGATCACATATACTGTGACATTCGCACTTCAACAGGGGATAGTCTGGAAACAGATCTAGAAATTGTAGACGACGAAAATGGTAGCTACACAGTATACTATACACCAGATCGTATCGGAACATATGAAGTGGAGATTGAAGTGAATGGACAACCGCTGGATAATAGTCTCTGGAGTGATGACCAGCTGGATCGTAGTCCTTGGAGTATTCTAGTCACATGTCAGTATCAGTATCAGTTTGATTTTAAATTTGGTTCAAGAGGTAAGGGACCAGGACAGTTTAATGATCCATATGATATTGCCATCAGTGGGGCAACAGGAACTATTGCTGTTTCTGACTACAAAAATAAGAGAATTCAGCTGTTTGACTCTGATGGCCACTACTTGAGACAGATAAGACTGAGGGCTAGCTGTACATCATTAGACTTTACCAAGTCCGGTCACATAATTGCTGTCACTCCTGGTGATGTTCACAAGATTTCTTTGTTTTCTGAGAAGGGTCAGTTTGTCAAGTACATCGACAGTGAGCATTTGAAGTTTCCTTTTCATGTATCCATTAATGACGATGATGATATTACGGTATGTGATCAAGAGAGTAATGAAGTTGTAGTAATCTCTCCTGACGGAACAGAGTTAATAACACGCATTGCTGCTTCAGAGCATGACCAGTCAATAATGTGCGCCATTTATCACGAACAAACAGCCTGTTTCTTTGTCTCTGATTCCAAAGCTGACCTTGTCAATGTTTTTGATGAGGATGGAAACTTTCTGAATGAAATTGGTGGTGGAAGGTTACTTCACCCTGTTGGACTTGCTATTGATAAATTTAACAATTTGATCGTCTGTGATACTGGGAACCAGAGGCTTAAAGTATTTACTATTAGAGGCGACTTTCTCTCACAGACTGAACAATATTTCCATACACCGCACTTTGTTGCTGTGTCTGACGAAGGGGACGTTCTTGCCACAGATTATGAGAAAAACTGTGTTTTTCTATTTCAGACGGTAGACCTATAATAGCGAAAAAAATGTTAAAGATGAGTCTTACAGCTCGAGTTTAGGGTACAATCATGAGTTTAACAAAGTAAATAAAGAGAAAGCACAGAAGACAGTAAGCATAAGAACTAAAGAAATGTTTTGCCAAGGAAGAATTTGTGCCAGGAGTTGGATACATAAGTCATTTTCAATATTAGCTTAGTAGACACATTTTCTTGAAAAAAATCCAAAAACTTAACTAAACAGAGCTTTGGACGAAAGTCGTAAAACGTCAAAAAATCGAAAACGTCTATTTTTTGGCTGCTTATTTACTTGCTCCAGTTTTTTATGTTAAATGTCTGTAATGAAAAAAACATAGCTTATTTAAAAGTCTTTACAGGCACTTATTAATTAACCCGACACTATGAAACTTTGGTGTATTCCGCATAGCAAAAAGTTACAAAAAAGTGTTCAAGTATTCACTTTGGACGGAAAGTTTGTCTCGATGATTGGAGGGTTTTCATTCGTACCGTATTATGTTGCTGTGACCAAAAATGGAAATGTTTTTGTAACTCGGATTATCGGAACCACTGCGTTCATGTCGTTCACTAGGGCTGAAAAGCAGATAACTTTTATTTGTAATAAGTCTTTCATTTGATATTTTTTTGTTTCCTCCGTTTTTATTTCCTAGTACTTATCATTCATGATGAATCAGTACTTATGATTTTAAAAGAAATGTTCAGATGAAGTTATTTTAAAGCCTGCTCTCTTGCAAATGGCGTTATGCCGTGAGGTCCGGTCACGTGGTATAACGTGTTTTTTTTTTGTTTTGTTTTTTTTTTTTTCTCCTTTCTTTGTACCAACCGCTATTGCTGTAAAGACAATAAGACTAATCCTTGAGGTAAATTAGAGAAGGTAGAGGTTTTTTAACCAGCTAGGCCATTTGCAATGTTTCCAGTAATGTCCGCTAAATGACCGTGTCACTAAAAGTGCAAACAGGTCTCCGACGAGATGCTTCAGACGGCAAATCCCACTTCAAATTTAGAACGCGTTTAACAAGTTGTGACATCACAATTTTCCCGAAAAAGAACGTTTTATTGATGGAATACGGGATACTTCACTGACTTCATTAGTACAGTTATACCTTGGGTATGAATCTTGGGTTTGGAAAGCGCCGGATGTGAAGTGACTACTTCCCCTTGAATTCATTTTCCGCTTTTAGTCAGAAACGATCGTGAACCATATAATAAACAACTTATCAACCTCGATCGTTCGGTCAATACGGGAAAATTACAAACCTCAGCCTGGCTGTATTGACTGAGCGAAGCCTTGAGATTTTCCCGTAACGACCTCACACTCGGCTGAAAAATGATTTTCATTAAAAGCAAACACGGGGCAATACGGGTCATTCATTTGATAAAATTAAGTATTTAAGCAGCTATGAAAACTGGTACAATGAAAGCGTTCAAGCAGCTCAGACTGATGGAAAAAGAAACCTGGTTGGATGAAGGCAGAGGGGGGACAGGCCATTGCTTCTATAGAAGGGTCGTGCAAGTAGTGTTTCCCGGCGGTTGACAAAGCTCGTTTGATCTTTGGATTAAGAAGGCGACCGATCATGCTCATAATAATCTAGCATTGTGCATATTGCGCAACATAGACGTATTTACATATTTAGCATGTTGCAGCAGTTGAAAATCCTCGAGGCGTAACGTGGTCAAACCGTCAATCAACAAGATCAAGTCACGCCATCCCGTTTGCAGTTGTAGGGTAAATTCACTGGAAAATGCGATTCTTTTGCTATCTTTGTTCGTTGATCTTTCATTTAAGATCATCATAGCTTTCTTTTGAAACACATCGGGTGATCATCCTCGGTGTACGTGTTCTGGCTTTTCCGAGAAAAGCTGATCTTTTCCGGTTGAGCTGACAATCCACGAAAAACCTGTCTAATCAGTCGAGGGGTCAATTTCACCATGGATGTTCAACAACTGTTTAAAGACCTCAGGAAAGAAGCTGAATGTCCTCTCTGCTTGGAGACAGTCAAAGATCCCAGGACTCTGCCATGTTTACACTCATTTTGTCTGCCGTGTCTCGACAAACACGCAAACTACGCGAGAAGACAGCTCCAGACCGCAATCAAATGTCCGGTTTGTCAGGCTAGCTTTCAGATCCCTGAAGAGGACACGTTTGGCAGCCTTCCTGCATCTTTTCATCTCAACCGACTGGTGGATCTCCTTGCTCTGAGAGATGGCAGTACAGAGTCCCAGAAATGCGGCAGCTGCGAAGAAAACAACACTGCAACTCACTACTGTTTTGGGTGCTTGAGCTTTCTATGTGCAACTTGTTTTGAAGCTCATCAGCGCATCAAGGCGACAAGAGGTCACAGAAATATCTCTGTCGAGAATTTGCAGGCAGACGATGTCGAAGAGTTGATTCACAGACCGGTCATGTGTTCAGAGCAATACCACCAAGATCAGCCACTTGAATATTATTGTAAAGATTGCAACGTTTGCACTTGTATAAAGTGCAGTGTTGTGAGTCATAATCGACACACTATGGTTGATATGCAGAAAGCTGCAGATGAACAAAAGATGCAAATAGATGAGGCTTTGAAGAAAATGAAAGCGGAGGTTGTTTTTTTTGAAAATGAAATAGAGGAGCAAACTGCGTTAATAGACAAAAACAAAACACAAATATCGGTTGCCAGAGAGAAGATGAACGAAACTGTGGACGATTATATTCGCTTATTAACGGAGAAAAAAGCGATAATGAATGCGAGATTCGATGAAATTAATCAAGCACATCAAAAAGCTTATACAACACATCTGGAAAGCTTCCTGCTTGCTGTCACACAGTTGAAGAGTTCTTTGGAACAAGGTGAAAATATCTTAGAAAGGAATATCAATGCTGAAATCTTGCGAACGAAGCCAGTGATTATGGGACGCTGCGAGGACCTTTTAAAGGCAGAAAAACCTAAGATATACAAACCACCCCATGTTTATTATGTAGTGGAGGACGCGTTAGAACAGGATTTTGATGATTCAGATCGAGTTGTTGTAAGTCATACGGATCCATCATCGACAAATATCGAAAGACTTTCCCAGAAGGTAAAAGAACAGAATGAGACACATTTTACTATCATCACCAGGGATTCAGAGGGAAGACAGTGTTATAATAAGGATGATCTCATAAACTGTAAGATCCGCCCTTCAACAGGGGATAGTTCGGAAACAGAACTAGATCTCGAAGACAACGGAGATGGCAGCTACTTAGCAGAATATACCCCAAGTTCTACTGGATTATATGACTTGAAAATTGAGGTGAACGGAAAACCGCTGGTTGGGAGTCCGTGGAGTGTACAGGTCATCCCTCATCAGTATCGGTTGAAGTTCAGTTTTGGTTCAAATGGTAGTGGACCAGGACAGTTCAATGGTCCTTATGATATTGCTGTAAGTAAGAAAACAGGAACTATTGCCGTATCTGACTACGAAAATAAAAGAATTCAGCTGTTTGACTCTAAAGGCCACTACCTGAGAGAGATAGGACTGAGGGCTAGCTGCACCTCATTAGACTTTACCGAGTCCGGTCAGATAATTGCCAATACACCCGGTAATGTTCTCCTCAAGATCTCTTTGTTTTCTGAGGAGGGTCAGTTTGTCAAGCGCATTAACAGTAAATACTTAAAGTCTCCTTTTTGTTTATCGACTGATGACGATGATGATATTACGGTATGTGATGAAGAGAGTAATGAAGTGACAGTCATCTCTCATAGCGGAAAAGAGTTAGTAACACGCATCGCTGCTTCAGAGCGTGAACAATCAGTAACGTACGCCATTTTTCACAATTGTACCGGCTGTTTCTTTGTTTCTGATTCCAAGGCTGACCTTGTCAGAGTTTTTAATGGGAGCGGAAACTTTCTGTATGAAATTGGTCGTGGACAGTTACTGAATCCTGTTGGACTTGCTATTGACAAATTCAACAATTTGATCGTTTGTGATACTGGGAACAAGAGACTCAAAGTATTCAGTACTAGAGGAGACTTTCTTTCAGAGACTGAACAATATTTCCATACACCGTATTTTGTTGCTGTGTCTAATGAAGGGGACGTTCTTGTCCCTGATTATGAGAAAAACTGTGTTGTTGTCTTTCAGTAGACCTGTAATAGCGAAAAAAGTGCTGAAGATAAGTCTTACAGCTCGAGTTTAGGGCACAACCACGAGCACAAAACACTTTTTGAACAAAGCCATACAAAGAGAAACCACAAAAGACAATGAGAGATGAGAACTTTAAAAAATGTTTTGATAAGGAAGAAATTGTACAAAGAGCTGGATACATAGGGCTGTCAATAGAGGACACATTTCCTTAAAAAAAATCCAAAAACTGAACTAAACAGCTTTGGACGAAAGTCGTAAAAAATGTCCAAAAAATCTACAATTCATCTATTTTTTGGCTGCTTATTTACTTGATACATTTTTTTTTTATATTTAAATGGCTGTAATAGAGAGAACATATCTTATTAAGCGTTAACAGGCAGTTGTTAATGGACCCGGCACTACGAAAATTTGGTGTATAGCGCACAGCAAAAGTTAATCAAGAACATGAATTACAGATTAAAATACAAGAGGTGAAAAATAACTAATCGTAGATCATAGACATCAAACCATCATAGACATCAAAATACCTTCATCTGGTAGTTCCTTACCATTACGTAGAGGTTTACCCGTTGCAATCCCTTATACCCCCATATTCATGAGCGGGTACTTCACAGCACAACGCAAATGTGTCTGCGATCAGGCAAATCTTCTCACGGCACACTTGTCAGAACTGAGCGTTTTAAAAATTTCGTTACAGTTAAGTATCAACCTGTGTAAAGTATTGTGTGTATTTATTTATTTAGGTTTCCAGTGTGTATATTTTTAAAACTGTACCAGTAATTCAGCCTTAGGCTGCAAGTGGTCCNCAATCCTTCCGAAATGGTTGTCGCAATTTCTTCCTCTGAATCGACAAAACACACACGGCATCTATGTAAAGCAGAATTTCTTTATTTTTTTCTATTTTACTTTTAAATTTTAGATCATGTTTATATAGATTAAAATAGATTGTAACTGTAAAAATAGATTGTAATAATATTATTATTTTATCTGATAGATTTACCGTGTCTAAATAAAAATAAAGTTCAAGTTCAAGTTCAAGTTACACCCCTCTGTCACAGACCTAGTTGAACCTGGTTGTTCACCAGGTTTTCAACAAAAACTCTACCAGGGCAGACAAAAATCCACCAGATTGATCCTTGTGACTTTTTCTTCCAGGGGAGCACGCCTCACCAGGGAAACTAAAATTCTACACTACGGAAGAAAAAAATTCACCAGTGAGTTTTTAAAAAACCACCAGGTGCCAGGGAGGTCAAAATTCCACCGGGGAAGGCAAAATAACTCACAAGGTCGGGTTCCACCAGGTCTGTGACAGAGGGGTGTTCTTTTGAAACATATCGGGGGGTCATCCTCGGGGTGCGTGTTCTGGTTTTTCCGAAAAAAAAAACTGATCTTTTCCGGTTGAGCTGACATTCCACGAACAACCTGTCTAATAATCGTCTTTAATTACATTCTAAGCCAGTCTAGGGGCCCATTTCATCATGGATGTTCAACTATTTAAAAACCTCAGGAAAGAGGCTGTTAAGAAGACGTTCACGAACTTGTGCGCGCGCGACTCGCGTGCGCGTGCTTTGGGATTACGTAGGTTAATAAGATCGTAAGCAAATCACGCGGACCTTTTTATTTTTGACGTGTGCAATTTTCTTGAAAAAAAGAGTCGAAAGCTTTTTAGTTTATTGATTGGCGGTTTGTTTAACGGTCGTTGTCGTTTACCTTGAGTCTACAGTTTACAGTGTTGGAATTAAAGTGTCTGTTTGGATTTTCCGTTTCGCTTCCGAACAGAGGCTGAATGTCCTCTGTGCTTGGAGACAGTCAAAGATCCCAGGACTCTACCATGTTTACACTCATTCTGTTTGCTATGCCTCGACAAACACGCAAACTATGCAAGAAGACAGCTTCAGACAGCAATCAAATGTCCGGTTTGTCAGGCTAGTTTTCAAATTCCTGAAGAGGACACGTTTGGCGGCCTTCCTGCATCTTTTCATCTCAACCGTCTGGTGGATCTCCTTGCTCTAACGGATGATAGTACAGAGTCCCAGCAATGCGGCAGCTGCGAAGAAAACAACACTGCAACTCATTACTGTTTTGGGTGCCAGAGCTTTCTATGTATACCTTGTTTTGAAGCTCATCAACGCATCAAGGCCAGAAGAGGTCAAAGAAATATTTCTGTCGATAATTTGCAGGCAGACGATATGGAAGAGTTGATTCGCAGACCAGTTATGTGCTCAGAGCAATACCACCAAGATCAGCCACTTGGATATTATTGTCAAGATTGTAACGTTTGCACCTGCATAAAGTGTGGTGTTGTGAGTCACAATCGACACACTCTGGTTGATATGCAGAAAGCTGCAGATGAACAAAAGATGCAAATAGATGAGACTCTAAAGAAAGTGAAAGAAGAAGTTGCCATTTCTGAAAAGAAAATTAAGGACCAAGGCAAGTTGATGGACAAAAACAAAACAAAAATATCGGCTGCCAGAGAGAAGATGAACAAAAGTGTGGACGATTGTATTCGCTTATTAACGGAACATAAAATGATCATGAATGCCAAATTCGATGAAATTAATCAAGCACATCAAAAAGCTTACGCAACACACCTGGAAAACTTCCAGCTTGCCGTTACTCAGTTGAGAAGTTTTCTTGAACAAGGAAAAAATATCTTAGGAAGGAATAGCAATGCTGAAATTTTGCGAATGAAGCCGGTGATTATTGAACGCTGCGAGGACCTTTCATATACAAAAAAACTGAGATATACAAACCACAATGTAGAACAAAAGAATACACATTTTGGATCGAATTGTGGTGAGCCAAACGGATCCAGCATTCACAATTGTCGGAAAACTTTGTGAGAATATAGGAGATCAGAATGAGACATATTTCACCATCACTAAGGATTCAGAGGGAAGACAATTTCATAATAAGGATGATCACATTAACTGTAACATTTGCACTTAAGCAGGGGATAGCTCGGAAACAGATCTAGAGATTGAAGACAACGAAGATGGTAGTTATACAGTTAAATAGACACCAGGTCAAACTGGATTATTTGAAGTAATAACTGAAGTTAATGGGCAGCCGCTGGATGAGAGTCCGTGGACTGTTCGGGTCATCCTTCATCACATAGTTAATAGAGGGGACTGGTCCCTTCTACTGACTATGTGATGAAGGATGACCCGAAACTGACTCAACTGAACTTCAACTATCAGTTGAAGTTCAGTTGTGTTTAAAATGGTTGTGGACCAGGACAGTTCAATGGTCTTTATGTTATCGCCGTAAGCGAGAAAACGAGAGCGATTGCCGTTAATGACAATGAAGATAAAAGAATTCAGCTGTTTAGCTCTGATGGGAGTTACCTGAGAGAGATAGGTTTGACCACCCCTTGTACGTCACCAAGCTTTACCGAGTCTGGTCACATTATCACCGCTACTCCTGTGGATGTGAATAAGATTTGTTTATTTGCTTAAGACGGAAATATTGCGAAGTACGTCAATAGTATAAACTTGAAATTTCCTTTTTACATATCTTTGGAAAAGACGATTGCATCATCACAAGTGATTCAGTAAATCATGTAGTCGTGGTCACCTCCCCCGACGGGACAAAATTCGTAAAATGCTTCCGTGCTTCAGAAGATGATCAGTCAATAAGAAGCCGGCACCATCTACCACGAGGAGAAATTCGTTGTTTCTGACTCTAAAGCCAACCGTGTTTATGATGAGGAGGGAATGTTGTTGTACAATATTGGCAGCGAGGGATCTGGTGAAGGACAGCTACACCATCCTGCGGGACTCGCAATTGACAAATTTAACAACTTGATGGCTTGTGATAGTGAGAACACTAGAGTTCAAGTACTTTGGACGGAAAGTTTGTCTCGATAATCAGACAGTCTCTATTTGTACCGCATTATGTTGCCGTGTCTAAAAGTGGAGATGTTTTTGTAACTGATTATCAGAAGGGCTGTGTTCATGTCCTTCACTAAGGCTGTAACGCAGTACGTTTTTACGGTTAGTCTTTCAATTTTCATTTAATGAGCGATTATAAACACTAAGATACTTTGCGCGCAGTTAACAGGCAGTATTGGGGAATAAGCGCTTGGGCGTTTTGGACGACAGTTGTGCCTAGCAACGGGCCCCAGCCACATCGAGAGTCCCTCAGGGGAGCCCAGAGGCCCACTTCTGTTGTTCTTTCATTAATGATCTGCCAGGTGTTCTACCTGAGTGTATTCAATTTACTCTCTACGATGAAAATACTAAAACAAGATTCATTCCTCCGTTATCTATCACAGATTTTTAACGACTACAACGAGCTTTGAGAAACCTTTTTTCGTGGATAACAATATCCAATTTAATGCTTTTAAATGGAAGATTTTTGTCAATAACGCAGAAGAAGAGGACTACCATTTGAGGCTATTTTTTAGGCCCCAAAAAGTTACTGGGTGTGCACGAGGAGAAGGATCTGAGTATGATTGTTTCGAGCAAGTTTACCCGGGACTCGCATTTGCAAGCGAACAATCGTTTCGGTCTGTTGAAGAGATTTTGTCCTATGTAAAATAAAGTAGCACTGAGAAGGCTCCCAAAAGTTAGCGATCATGAAACCCCAGCTTTGTTACATT